TTGTGTAATCAGGAACTTTCAAAGTTCAAACAGTTCAAATTTGTAGAATAATTGATCGTTATTTTTTACAGGAAGTGAGAGACGATGGAGAACTGCTTCCCATACCTATACACACGACTATGCGAGCAACATTCGAGGCTAAGGTGAATGAAGAGCCTAAACCTGAGTTGAAAAATGTTCATTTACTAAGTTGGCCAGCAAAGGCAGACTCCGTAAATCCGCAGTCATCCATGGAGGAATCTTTAGAGATGATGGAATACGTAAACTACTACTACTATACTGGTGAATATAAATGTTTTTCATTCAGTGTCAAGCGTTTTCTGAAACACCTATCCCACCTACTCTGAGAAAGGAAACTTTTTAAGAGAGTAATTAAGAGAGTAATTTATATTTCAGTCCGTATGAGGCTGGCAGTGGAAGCCTATGAGATAGGTAGGTAATATAAGAAATCTATGGCCATCTAAACTATACGTACACATTTTCTGTTTGAAATTATAAATGACGCGTGCGCACGCGCCTTGGTGACGCCTCACTTCGCATCGAGCCGTGCAGCAGAAATCCTAATATTTTAATTTCGCCATAACTTTAAAAACAAACGTCCAATTTTAATAATAATTTATTTTGATAAGGATTAATAGCATGAGTAAAATAAACGTTTAAATGTAGTCCAAATAAAAACAAGATTTTCAATAAAAAAAAATGGTTCTTGTACCTCACTCGACATAGATAGGTTTAGTGTGTCGCGGACTTTTTTGTAGATATTTATAGGATCTACAATTAATTAGGACATTTTATGGTTCTATCTTTTATAGTTTAGTAAGCGTACGCAAAATAAGTAACTTTTCTGGTTGATTTTTGACACCTTGTGTCCGAAAGACCCAAATATCTTACGGAACCCTATTTTTTTCCAAAATAAAATATAGCCTATCTTACTCGTGGATAATGTAGCTTTCGAATGGAGAAAATTTTTTTTTAATTGGTCCAGCAGTTTTTGAGCCTATATATTACAATTAAACAAACAAACAAACAAAGTTTTCCTCTTTATAATATTAGTGTAGATTAAAGAAGCAACGTCAATTAAAATTAACATCCTCACTATTGAGAATGACGTTAAAATAAACAATGCCTTTTTAACAAGCTGCAAGAGAACAAAGTTATTTAGCTTCAAAGCTCGGACTATCAATTGAGCCCTCGAACCACCAACTTGGATGAAACAAATTAATTTCAGTGCAAAACGTCGCCGGATCAAGTTGCGCGATTTATTACTTAGCTACGAGTTGGAAAAGCTCTTTTTTGCCAATCCAAATTTACGATTTTGAACTGAACATTGTTCAAGTCCTATTAATTTATTTAGTTTCCATGTGAAAGTTTCATAAGAAATCAATAGTTTCATAATTATACAAATTAAAATGTTTAATAATTTAAAAATAAAAAGAAAGCACCAAAAAAGTACCTCCACTTATGGCGACTCTAGCAAAAGTTTATTTTTTCTTTATTGCGAAGACGCTCTGCTACAGAGCTCTATGTAAGCAGAAATATAGATATAGACATGTATTTACATTTCTTTAAAGCTAATACATTTTCCATATGTATGTGTTTGTACACAAAGCGTTAAGCAATAAAGACAGTTGCAATCATATCAAACTATATGAATGGAATAATGAGAAAAAGAACAAAGGTTTTATGCAAGCATTTAACCTCTTGATGTATGCATACGAATCTATTCTAGGTGCGGATGGGAAAAGAAATTATCGAAGCCGCCCACAGAAGTCTAATATAAAAGGAAACACTGCAAAAAACCAACGAAGCGTTAACAGAAATGGGAATTTATTTCGTGAAAAACTTTTTTCTTAAAGACATTCAGGCATTCTTAGAGAGCTTGGTAAAAACCACCTAATATATTTCAAGATGTCTACTTTAAAGAAACTTTTGCTTCTACTGATTTATGGCTTTGTTATTATTTGTTTCCACAATAAGTTTCAAGTGTAATAGCTACACTTCAAATCTTTTTACTATTTTATTTAAACTTCTTTCATTCTTGCAGTCGCGTCACTTACCTTTAAGATTTTTTTGGTATTATCTGCAATACTCCTCTGTTGTAAAAATAGCCTCGAAGGTGACATCGAGCGCAGTGCTGTTATTAAACTAAACCTACTATTAAGGTAGGTACTTCTAAGGTTGGATGACGAATTCGAGGTAGGTATCTAATTTAATAAACTAGATTTTTTTTTATTTCCTTTAATAGCATACTGAAAATGTCGCACTACGTTCCGAAATACGGTGGAGCTTGAGATAATAAAGTTTTGATCGACCATTCTATTACCAGCCGCAAATCGGACGCCCTAGCCACTACGCCATTGAGCTACTTAAACAAAACATCGTTTATAATAAAATCGTTATCAGATTCGCGGCTGGCCGGAATCCAATTTCGTTGAAGCAAAAGCTCTCTGTGCCTGACGGTGCATGAGAAAATCGCTTTTAAGCATGTGCCACACCAACTTTGAGCATTAACCGAACTATAATAAAATTGGAATGACACTGTTATGGCATGCGAATATGGAGATCAAATATCCTTTTGAAATGTTACGCCGTGAGTTTTTTCGTGTGAAGAAACCAGCAATAGTCTAGGTTTTTACGTAATAATTGAAATTTTATATCCGCTCTATTGTTCTTTGAACCTGAAATTTGGAAGTTTGTGTTTTTATTAATATCGAATATTTTTCGAACTTTGAATATTAACTAATTCCGTTTTTTTTTGCAATCTAAATAGTCTGTTTTCTTCTTTGGAATCTGTTTTCAATAATAAATTATGTCTCATCATCGCGCACTTAAGGCCCTCTTGTACTCTCCACTTACGTTCCCATACAAATACGCATCGAGAGTCAAAACGTGCTTGCTTGATTTCATACATTTTTAATCACAAAATGAAGATAAAAAATATTTTGATGTTTTAAAATTATATCAAACCCTATTTTTATTTACTCAGTTAAGATAAATTAGTAGTTAAATCGATCCAAAAAACCTATTTAGAGTCATCTTTGTGATTTTTTTCTATCGAGCCAATAAATAAAATTTATTTTCCTGTTTTAGCATACAATCGATCATTTGTTTAATTTTCATAAAATGATTTTTATCAGGTACATATAAAAATGGCCTTAGAATAAAATTGATTGAAAAACTGGTAATTTCATACAACCTAGCCTTAACAACATTATAATACGATGCGTAGAATTCAGTAACATTTTATAAGCACAACCAGTAGTACTCCTCTAGTTACAAAACCAAGAAGGCAGACTTTTCCTAACCTACATGGATATTACGAATATTTATTTGAATTAAAACTTCGTGTAGGGAATAGTAAACCACATAATTATCAAACTAGCGCCATATTTTTTTTCTAATTGTGCAAGTACGTACAGTCGTTTGGCAGGTGCACCTTAATATGCATTAGTGAAATTGGATTACATTTTACCTGTATTTCGGTGGAACGGGTGTTTAAATCAAAGTTGTTTTCTCTTGCATATCAACTTAAAACTTATATTAAAACTTTATTTTCTTTTAAATTAATTATTGTCTGATTATGTACTTTGTCTCTTTGTTTTAAAGCGGATATTTTCTTTTTCTTCTGAAATATTTGTGCTCTCTGATGTCATGACGTATTCAGTATATTATTAGTTGAGTAAGCCCTGCCTGCGCTTGTTCTATATTTTGTTTCACTTTTTGTCATGTAATGTGGTTTCAAAAATTAATTATTTTTCTTTCTTTCACTGTCTGATATGCTAGCTGCTTAAAATAGCCTCTAACTTCATAGTGTTTAAACTATCTTCGTCGAACTCGAGGTGCAAGTTTGTGACCAGATATAGCTTCATTGAAATAAAAGCTTTATTACAATTTAAAATAGGTTTCATTTCATTGAATTTCAGTGTTATTACAGTGCTACGCTCGATGTCGAGTTCCGATTTTAAACAGGACCACTCGGGCGACGGAAAGCTAGAAAGCTAGCTAGTTACTAATGATGAGTTTTCCGATAATTCTTATTTCTCATGTTACTTTTTTAATTTGAATTGAAAAATAATTCTCACTAGCAAGGTTATTTACAAATTCCAAGAAGTCTATTAAAATCGGGAGGAGATTTTATTAAGAGCACTCATATCTAAGAACTTACAACTGAAGAAAGAAAAAAAAATTATAGGACATGTTTTCATGAGTCAGATACATGAAAGGCATTACGTTATCGTAATTGACCGTGAAATAAAAAACTACATTTACTTTTGCTAAAAAATAAAATGATAAAATCTTAGAGGTAATTTTGTAATTTGAGTGCCTGGAGATAAAGCAAATTTTGTAAGTCCGCGTTTTCATTCGATAATTACGTCATAAATAATCTAAAGTACAGCGAACAATACATCAGGTTATACAACAATGACAATTTCCCTAGTCAATTTCAAACTTTAATATTAATATAGATGGTAGTGATCAAAACCCATAGTTGTAGTTTGACATAAGCTGATGACATGTAGGGTCAGATTGTCAATATCGAGAAGTTTATCAATATACATGTATATCTCTCAATGAGGTGTCGCGCAAGAAAATCACGAAGCACTGTCGAGTGTCGACGCCTTGTTAACTAACTGTTAAGTAAATTCTTCATCATGAGCCCTTTTAAATTCCCACTGCAGGGGCCTTAGGTGATTAGGGTTAGACACTACGCTGGCCCAATGCGGAATCGGGTTATAAACGACTGCAAATGCAGCTGGGACCAACGACTTAACTTGCATTCCAAAGCTCGAATTATTTTTTGGTCACCTATCCCGCGACAGACCCTTGCCTAAGTTGCATAACAACGATCGTGGGCCGCGGCGCTTCTCCACCGAGCTTATGTAATAAATCATAAATCTTCTTTATCACAATCAGTAGAAAAAATATAACTAGTTAAGTAAAATTAAACTCTTGGCCAATTCAATGGTCAATAAAGTTTGTTAAATAAATAAACAAACAGTCAAATTCAACAGCTTTATTGTCAGTATATAGTGAGCATAGTTAAACTAATTAAAAGTATTTTTCAAGGGGTTCTCCAAGTATCTGTTCGAGTTTCCTAATTGCATCTTTAGTGGACGTCTCTATTTTTTGATCGCCGTCCTCTAGAAGTTCAGCCAAGAAGGGAACGCTCTCAGCCAGGAGTGGCAGCCAGCTGCTACCGAGCTGAGTGGCCATAGCAACCAAACAATCGACAGCAATTAGTCTGAAAACAAAAGATCTTATTATTTTTAGGGTTCCATACCTATAGGTTAAAAAAGGGTGAAAACCCTATTACTAAAACTCTACTGTCCGTCCGTCTGTCGACAAGCTATATCACATAAACCGTGAAAGCTGGGCAGTTGAAATTTTTACAGAAAATTTAATTTAAGAAGAAAAATTAATATTTAAGGGACTCACATATAACAAATTATCTTATGCGTTTTTTTACAGTCAATAGTATGGAAACTTTTTTAATTACATTCAGTGCATTTTTTGGGACACCAATATAGATCATGATTACCAATTTACACAGAACTAACTGGAAAATAAACGTCTATGGTCTTGGGTTTGGATGTCGGTATGCTTCATTTTCCATAATAAAATGGGTATCAGGTACTATCCATCAAGTAACACTAACTCCCAGTAGCACAAACGTCCATTATGGTTTAAAGACGAATTTATGCTCTAATAAACGTTATTTAAAAGAAAATTGTCATTGTACTATCTAAGGTCCAATATTATTATTAAAGGTGTAACACCCTACGAACTCCTGGCACATATTAATATAACACCTTAAATATCCGTCAGCATAGATGTGCGAGGAAGACATTCCATTAATTATGTTGGACTTCAGATAGATAGTACATTGGCAAAATGCAAATCATTAGATACGATTATTACATAAACTAATTACTATTTTAAGGAATGTTTGTGCAAATGCAGGGTAGACCAAACGAAATATTCCCTAAATAGTGCAAGGACTGCAAATAAACCCAAATGCGCTATATTTTTATGCACATAATTACACGCACGAAGAAGAGTAATATGTGCGTAATGTAGTAAATATGTAATGGAAATTTAAAGTACTAATTATGTATTTTCATAGAAATTATCCGTTATTCCATAATTGCTTATGAAGTATTTCCTCTAGGGGCAATACATGTCCAAGTACTTGTACTAAGGCATTCAAGCACTCTTAGAAAAATTCCAATAATCAAGTTGATATGTATTAGGAGAAATTAGGGAATACTTCAGGGGCAATGATGGTCTAACCGAAATTACCTGATATCACCATCATTATGTCTGGTCTTCAAGAGAATTTGGTAATTAAGCAGCTTCCACAGTGAATCATCTTGGGTAGCAATAGCGAATTGTGATATACAAGGAATCAACAACTCTGCTGCTCTCGTCTTAAGAGCCTCAATGCCACCCAAAGTGTTTTCCAATTGATCAACAACAGGCTGCATCAGAGTTTCGAATCGCTCCTTGTTCAAGAAATTTTGACTATCATACAGGAACACTATATGAAGAGTTTTTATAATATACTTTATAAGTTCCAAGCATTTTTCCTCAGAGTCCAGGAAAAGATCTTCACTTTTGCTGTTATTGCAAGAATCTAATAGTTCTGCAGCATTTTTAATGAAATGTCCAGCAAAAAGAACGAATAGCCCTTTCAGCTGATCAGCAATAGCACTACTCAATCTGAAAAAATTAAAACGATAAGTACAAACAAATATTCTACAAAAATAAAGATATAAAAAAAAATATATAATTTACCTGTAAAAAGTAATAGCTCTATCTTTCCGACCATCAACATTAGTTCTTATTGCCCAATCATAGATTTTAAAATAGAATGGTCTGAAGCTGGTTTCGGAAAGCTTAAGTACCAAACGAACTAATGCATTTACGACTTCATCCTCTGCATTGTTAATAACATTATTTTCTACATCCTTGTCTGTTGCATCAGTTCGTAATTCTAGCGCTGATAAGAAGAAAGTCGTCAAATCCTGTTGTAATGTAGCGAAATCAGCTGTAGTCATGTTCGAGAAGCACTCTGCTAAAACTGACATTATTGGGCCAACAGCTTCGAAATTTTCTTTCTCCAATAGCGATTGATGGGTCTCGTTTGCTACTGGTATCAAAACCCTAGGTGGAACAGAACTAGCTATCTTCTTCTTGATATTTACCAATTTATTCACAACAGCTGAGACTTTGCTACATTCCTGATCAAAGGTTTGCCATTTTGCTGACAATATAGCATACTCATACAATATCTTCTGCAGATAAGGACTTAGGAACAACGGCAAACTTTCGACAATCTTAGATATCGCCGTCACAGTACTTAGAAGTATCAATTCGGGAGTTTCCGTCTGTCTCTGTTTCTTGAGCACTTTAATTAGAGCTGGCATGAACTTCCTAAGGCTTGCCAGCGCATGAGCTTTAAGATTACTACAAAGTTCTGCTAAGCATAACACTATTGATGCCATTACATTTCCAGTAATGTTGGGATTACAAGTGTATTCCGTAACTATTTCTAAGACAGGTTTGAATGGCTCAGGGTTTTCAGATGCCAACATTCTCGTGAGTAGTTTCAAAGATAAAAGAGCTGTTTGCTGATTCACCTCAATTTCTTGAGCAGCGAGTTCTGTTAGACTGTCATCTTTAATTTCAATAGTTTTTATAATATCCAATAAAGGAGAGAGTAGTGAAAATAGCAATTCCTTATCTACATCATCGAATATTCCGGAGCTGAACTGAATCTTAGAATTTAATAATTCCATAGATTTCCGTCTTACTGCATGTAATGTGTGCTTCAAGAGCCCTCGTACCACCGATAAGAACATTGGCGCAGACAACAAATTATTAGTATGATCTAAAAGGTCGTAACTGTGATGTAACATTACTCGCCAATATTTAGAATTCTTTTCGTCATTTAGTTTTGAAATGCTCTGAATGAAAGTCAATATGTTAATAATGAATGTTTTGTAGTGACCTTCCATAAGATTGATGTCACTAGTTTGACTACTGTGGTGCACAAATCTTGAAGACTCTAAACAATTATTCATGAAGGTAATGACAACATATTTATATTGTCGCAGTTGGACCGCACTGTGGCCATTAACACTAAATATATCACTTGGATCGACGTCAGTGTCCATAGAATTCTCATCTTTTTGTACTGGTAATGATTTCATATAACCCATTAGTTTAATGAAGTTTTCTAAACAAATTTCTGGAGGGAATTCCAAAAGAATGTTCTGACCAAAGTCTAATCTAGTCATTGGTGATTCTTGGTCAGCTAGAGTTCTATTATGGCTTTTATCCTTCTTTTTGTCATCGTTGAAATGTGCAATATGCGTTTCCAACAATAAGGCCAGGAATACCCAGAGGAAATGACTGGGACCAAGAGTTTCTATTAAACGCTTGTATAACGGAAGGCGTCTATGTTCAGGCACATGTAAAACGACGTCGGCGAATATTCTCAAAACTGGTACTACACGATTTTGTAATTGCTGTAATTCCTTTTCCGTACATTCTTGGATATCTTTGTCCTGTTTGACAAGGATCGGAATCAATGTCTCAATTATTTTCATAATAATCTGGAAACTATACGCGTCGTCGTGCCGAAGCACTGATGAGCCCATAAATGTGAATATTTCCATAGTGTGATGGAGAACTTGTTCAGGCAACATATAAGCAGCATGTGACAAAAGTATTAAAGCGTGATGCTGAGTTTGTGGATTTTGGGTGCCCCTGATGCACTGTACTACAAGTTCGACTTTAAAATTAGATTTGAGAGACTTCATTTGGTTTTTATTATTATCATTGACAAATCTTTTGCAATAGTACCAAAGTGAGGATAGTATGAGTTGTTTTGTATATTCCACATACGATTGCTCTTCGAATCTCAAGCACTTATTTAACAACTCAAACATTAACAACACGAAAGTGTTATCCACAGACATCTTCTTCTTATTTTGCACGTATTCAAGCATAGTAACTCCCAATTTCCATTCATTAGTTTCAGTCAATTGATAAGATAACATTGTTATTGAAGATTTCTTCTTCTTTTGTCCTTGCGCAGCTGGATCAACTACATTTAACATTCCCTCTAATATTGGTTTAAAATTATTTAAAGATAAATGAATCTTCTTCATTGTTTTTGCAGCAGTGCTCGAAATTGTAGGATTATTACTGAAAGCACCGGCTGACGCAATCAAACGAACCAAACTTCCAGATTTATCGTTAGGTACCTTTTTGAATACATCTTCATCTAATTGTTTCATAATCAGTACACTTGGACTTGTGAATGTATGAGCTACATCCATTATACATTCTCTATATTCTTTCAGACCTAATTCAATAGAGTTCCAAACATGATCTTTATTGAGCGTTATTATTGTTGATTCGTTTATTAGGCAATAAACGTTTTTAAACAAATTAGATTCATAAATATTAAAAGTGAATTTCTGGTTAAGACTATTTTCCACTAACACCTTTTCCAATGCATTAAGAGTTGGAACAAAAGTGGGAAAAGTGGTTGCACAGTTGATCTTGTCTAACAATTTAAGAATACTAGACGTCACATATGATGGTGTTCCTGATGTTAAAATATTTGCAAATTTTATGATACAATTTTTTCTAAAAATTTTCTTAGCTGGCGTTGTTTGCGACAGAATAGTGTGCAAAACTTGCAGAATCTGTTCATGATCAAGCAAAAGCTCTTCCTTGTGTTCTAAAAGTTCTTTTAACAACTGAACATATACTTTACCATTGTCAGGATTAAATCTTAGAAGATCACTTATTAAATCAATAGTGCATTGACGTATAGCTTCAAGAGGATTGTTTAAGTTAAGCAGAATCATCGATATAACAACATCTGATTCAAGTAGCCACTCATGATCTTGAAGAGCAAAAAAGTTGTTCAGTAATTTTAAGCTTCTCAGTTGTAGTTCTGGACCAATCACATCTTTTCGATCGGCAGCATATAAAATGTGACCACAGCCAAAATTAGCTATAAACTCGCATCTCTCTTTCCCGTTTCCGAATAACTTGACTAATAATTGATGTAAGAGTTTAACATATCGCTTCTCGTAAGTAGAAATGGAACATCCAGTAATAAAGATTTCATATAATCTTCTCACAAGGATTACTTCTGAACTGTCACACACATTACACCAAGGTTTAGGTATATTGTTGACATGCATGTTTTCTATTATTCTCGAAAATATGTACTCAACTACCTCGAATATTATTTTATTTTGTTTTGACAGCCTGATGAATTCTAATATGACTTTATTTGAAAAAGTCTCATCATTTTTACTTGATATTATTGATCTATTTTCAACTTCCACAGATTCAAGAAATAGATTAAGTGTTTCTGTCATTTCTTCTATTGTAGAAGTTTTAAAAGAACAAGTCTTTAATAGTAAAAAGGTAAAAACTTCAAGAGTATTCTGTTTGTTCAGTTGGTTCATATCAAGTATATCACCAAAGTTTACAACTCCATCAATAAACAATGATTTGAATATGATATGATTTAATACTTCACAGTTATCTTTGTGACTGTCAAGTTCTTTTCTGAGTATAGATGTTAGTTTGAACTTTTGCCCCCATCTTGAATTCACAATGTTCCACATAATATTAGCTGAATTTTCGTCATATGGAAACAAATGTGGTAGCAATGCTAATACAGTTTCTTGATTCACAGGAAGCATTTCCAAGGAACAAATTTTTTTTATAGCAACATCAATAACAGATTGCCATTTTCTTGAATTTTTATTTACAATCTTTACAAAGACGTTAGTCAAATCAATTGCATTGAATATCTGATTTAAATGTTTATTAGGTATTTGTAGAGCCACACTAACTACGTCAATGTTATCATCATTTAATCTACTTATAATTGAGTCTTTAACAAAATCAATATTTTCAATTTTAAGAGTATCAAATTCTTTACTAATATATTTGACTGCTTCAGATCTTAATTCAGGATTTATATGGTTAAGATTTTCAAACAAGTATGTGTCACCAACTTTATGAGCAATAGCAGGTTTGAAACCAAGCACTTTTGACAGTTTCAACTTCTTTTTAGATGATTCTTTACTGTTGTGAGAACTCATTTCTTCTTTAATAACTCTATCAAATGCATCTGGATATTTGTTTTCTAATTTTTTTAGAATAGATGTGTACCACTGTATTATTTCTATAGAGCAATTATCTTCTTCATCAATAATTTCTATATCACTTTCATCTCCTTCAGGTATCTCATTACATTTTTGAAACTGTAATGTATCTAGAACACACCTGTAAAAATATTATACATTGTTACATTAATTTACAATAAAAAATTTGCTTTGTATTTATCACTCGAATGCTTAATATGTTTTCGAATACGAGCTAAGGTGTGGTGGTTTAAGTATTTAAAGTCATAAAGGGTTGAAATTTATAGACTAAAATTAGAAGGTAATAGAATAGAGATAGATAACAATTTTTTTGTCAGACTGTCAGGTAGGTTATTGACCAATATTAAACACATATTTTATTTTATTTTTGCTAACCAATAAATTACAGTGTCACATTGAGTTGAAATGTCATATGATGTCACATCTTTGTAAATTTTCTACATGGTCGTGACATAGCAGGACCCCACTCCTCAACTTCTTCGAAAATGCCAGTTCTTGTTAAATTGGAGCAAAAAAATATGTTTCTAATATTTTTCTATTATGTGACTGATAGACAAAATAGAAGTTTTCTATACAAAAAAAAACTTATGCATTGATGAATACACTAGCAAACATAAATATATTAACTCTTTATAGCTCCTGGTTCTTGTTCCAATAAGGTTCTTAGTAGCACACTTGGAAGAATCCTACTATATTTTTCTCAGTTCATAAAGAAGCATTTAAAAAACAAATAATATACAGAGATACTATTTTAATGAGGAATTATTAAAAAAAAAACATTAGTTCCAGAAATCAAACTAGATGTCACAATGGTACTTTTCTGATTTCTCCATGACAGCCCTTCCAGTTTTCTTTCATGTATAAAAGTAAATTAGTTTTCAAAACTCAATAAATAACTTATATTCCATTTGTACTTTTTCATATTTGTATTGATATCTAAGGTTCAAAATTTGCATATTTCAGTTTTTTAATAAGTTAGTTAAAAGGAACAAAAAGGACTAGCTTGGTCCATTTGTTTCCTGCATAAATCAACTTTTAAGTCACCATCTAGTGGAAATGCTTTTTATGTGCTTTTTTTTAATAATTCCTCATTAATTTTTAACAATTATTATTTGTGAAAATACATGTTTTAAATTTGAATTATTTTGCATAATATTGTGAAAACAGTTCCAAGTAATCTAGAAAAGTTTATTATCATGAAAGATCTATTTACTCCTCAAGTAAATATTTCACATTAATAAATATTGAATATGAAATTTTTAGTATTAACTATTTATTAAAATTTTTATTATTAAATTTAGAATTATATCTCATTATTTAGTTGTGAAATTATAATATATTGACAATTGCAATAATTATTATAATTGTAACTTACTTGATTACTGATTCAGGATGTTGCTGTTTAAGGTTTACTTCATCAATTAGTATCTGTGGCAACTGACAGAATCTCTTAAAGTTTTCAGTATCACTCTGCATGATCGGTAGTACGCTGGAGAGGAATGCTAATGTAAATGGTTGAATATTCTGTTTATGTTCCACTGATCTTTTGAGAAAACTGCACAGATTATTCATTATGTCTAATGAAATATCATTCAATATAGTATCAGATATCTTTGTAACATGAGTTTGATAAGTATATGCCATAGTGATCAATATAGCGACATCATAAGTCATATCAAATTCTGTTGTAAGCAGTTTATCAATAATTTCGTTTAAAGTATCACTTTTTAAAGATGCTTTAGTGAATAAGAACCCAAGTACAATATAAACTGATGATCTAAAGTCAACAATTGGTGATTCAATACCCTTTATCAAAGTAGGCAAGAGTGCACTGATTGTAGCCTCTGTTACTCGTTTGCTACTTTCTATGACACCCAAAGCAGTTTGACAGAAAAAGGCAAATACTGTATTCAACTGAGATGATCTCTCACCAAACTCTTTTACATAGTTTAAAGTCATTTTGGCAACAAACTGCAACATTGCAGATGTAGAGATACACTGATTATACCAAACTTGATTGCCTAGTGCCACTCCGTTTTTCTGTATCGGTAACAACCAGTTCCACCTGTTTGTAGGTGAATTGATCTCCATAATTTGTACGAAACGAACAAATATTTTTGAACCATGATAAGGCAATATCAACGCCATTATTGCATTTTGGTTGTACTGATGTATGTGATACCTGTTCACAAGCCATTCTAAAGATTTATGAGCAGATTGCAACAAAAAATATGGTGACAATTGTAGTAAGAACTTTTCAATGGTCTGATCAAGATTTTGGTTCACCTCTTTACTCTGAACAGCTCTTTCAAAATCTTTTGAGTTAAGACTGAATAGAGATCCTTCATAGACACGAAATCCCTCATATAGAGCTATAAGTTCGTTGAGTCCACTCAAACCAATCTCATAGAAAGTGTCTCTGTCCTTTAAAGCAGCTTCCTTTGGATCAAATAGCAATGAAGCTTTCTTCTTGTGATCATTGTAAATGGAAGACTGAGGTGCCGATAGCTTTTGGAGCTGTTCGGCCAATGATGTTGAAGCCATTGTGACTATTGACAACCTGGAAAACCACATATAACTTCTAAATTATACATTTACTTCAAACAAGTCGACTAGTTATTTATTTATTGTTTAAATAACAGAATTTCCTCACCTTCAAACCTACGCACTTCGCACGTGTTCTTTTGACATTGACATTTATTTTATATATCTATTAGCAAAGGGATTAATTATTTATTCCATACATTATTTTATTCTTTGGATAACATCAATCAAAACTTATTAAAGGGTTACCTAATTGAAATAGTCTAACTAATAGGTCGTGATAAAAATGTGCAAGATCTTACTAAAGCTTAATATCTCAATATGTTGAAGTACACACGGTTGCATGTCAGGCTACCACAATACGTATATATTTCCTCAGTCGATTTTTAATTCTATCTATTATGCTCAATTCAATGTAGGTTTGAAATCAAGCGAAAAAATTTGATATTTTTGTATAGCACACACAAAACTTAAGAGTCGCCCAATTCAACATGATTGTTTCCGTACCGAAAATAAACAAAAAATCACGTTCATTGTACGGGAGCCCCCATAAATTGTTTTTTAATATTTGTTTTTATAGCGGCAATATGGATTTTTGTTACCGCTATAAAAACAAAGTGAGAACATTTCAATTTTCATCTGTATAACTTTCACAGTTCATGAGATATTGCCTGGTAACAGATGGATCTATAGACAGCGAAGTCGTAGTTATGAAAATATATTTAAAAATAAACGAAAGCACTAAAAAGCACTTCCACTAGATGGCGACTCTAGGAAAAATTGATTTTTGTAGGAAACGAATGAACCAAAGACAGTTATTTCCGTTCCTTTTAACTAATATATTAAAAAACTGAAATTTGAAAAGTTCGTAACTTAGATATCAATACAAATACGAAAAAGTATATTTAGTTTTAGTAGTATTTATTTAGTTTTGAAAAATTATTTACTTTTAAACATGAAAGAAAACCGGAAGGGTTGACATGGAGAAATCAAGAACGTACCGCAGCGAAATCTAGTTTAATTTCGGGAACAAATATATATTTTTAAATTAGTTTTAATTTTAAGTACAAATTGGCAATTTCATATTTTAAGCCCTAATATTGCATCACTCAATACCCGAAGCATAAATAGCTCGAGCTAGGTTTGCGGGTTGCGTACTACGTTCAATTCACCAGAATATTCAATGTCAACTTCAACTTGGATGGTTTGGATGTAGAAAGTTAAACGCTTCTTAAATACTCAACAAGTTATATAATTATTAAGACCACTGAAAATTCTCTTCCTGCGTTGCTACTCACTCTCAGAGAATATATAATAATCATTGTCCATCAGTGACATAAACAATATGTAAACTATAAAAAAAGAATAATTTCTAGGTACAAACATTTTGCTACATAAGGATAAATCTGCTTTCTTTTTTGGTTCTGGAGAAATAATATTTAATGATTGCTCTGTTGATTCTTGGGAAAATGAGAGTGATAATTTACTAAATTTACTGTAATTCTATTCTAAAATTCATTGTAATTTTGTCGTACTCTGTCATCTTGAATATGAAATATTATTTTGTCCAAAACCAAAGAAGAAAAATAATGTAATTCCAACTTGAGTTATTGGTGGCAATTTTGCTTTGGAAATAGGCGATGGTGCCTTCGCCTTGTGGCCACAATTAGAAAATGTCTCATTACCACTTTAATTGTAATGAGAATTACACATTTTTGTGAAAATAAACAAACAATAATAATAACAAACACCTGAAATTTTGATTTTACCTATCTATTTTTATATTTCGATATAACGATGTCACTGTTTCTGCAAAATAAAAATCTGCTTTCCTGTCTATCTTAACGCAACTATAAACAACTGTCATTTGTGTACTGTCAAGTGTGAAGTCATAGATAATAAAGCTGAAGGGCTGATCATTTGAGTGTCTGTTTTTGATGTTTCTTTGTTTAGAAAATTAAATCGCTAACGTGACGTTCTCGTACAGTTTGTTGCAATAGAATTTTAAAATTACGTAAATAATGTCCTTCAAATCGCATGTTTTCAAACACTAGTCTGACGACAGCCACTTTAAATGATTGCGTATTAAAAGTTTATCAGTTCACATCGCGGACGATTTGAAAAGCTTTGTTAGCAATTTTCTTTGTTATTTTAAATCAGCTCGTCTAACTATGGAAAAGGTTTTGGTAAACTTTTTGTTTTTATTAATAGTAAACAGTAGTTTTTCTTATAAACCTGTAGTTTTAATACATGGTATTATGACGGGTAGTGGAAGTATGGAAATGATTTCACACAGAATTCAAGAGGTAAGTTTTTCAAAAGCTCATATTCTTACCTTGAGTTCATTTATCAGTTCAAAAATCCTTGATTATAATTCTAAAAAGTATTTATTCGCGTTTAGATTTTTTTGCTTTTTTTTTTGTTATATATTTTCCCTATCATAGTGTTTCATGGTTCAATTACAAATAATAGATATTTTATGAACTATATAATAATTATAATCTTTCTTGAAATGCCTTACAGAAACACCCAGGAACCATTGTGTACAATGTAAATAGATTTGAAGGTTGGTCCAGTTTAGAAACTATGTGGCACCAAGTACTAGAAATAGGTTTGGATATTGCAAATATATCAGCGAAACATCCAGAGGGTATCAATCTCATTGGTAAGTGTTTGAACCTACAAATTTTTATAATTGATAAAAAAATATTCCGCATTATTTTAACCAATAATATTTTGGGTGAAATATATTTTTTTATCATATTAAAAGTACGATTACGTACAATAACTAATTTATATTTACTGCTGACGTGCAACCTACTTTGGCGTGCGGTCAATAATCTTAGTATATTATATATATCGACATTAAAGTTAGTTGTAATTTATACTTTGGTCAACTCATGTATCTACTAACTAAACTTATCTACTCTATATCTACTAACTAAATAAACTTAACTATTTAAACAGTGCAGTGTTTAACTTGAACTATTATTCAACTTTATCCAAACTACTATCAACTACACTCTTCAAGACCCCAACATCAAAGTGGTCCTTCGAGCTTCAACAGGTACTTTTATATATTAATTTTGTTCGGTAGCGAATCGGTTTGTCTGGCCTCCCACAAGCGGGTCTCACTAGGCAAATTGAGAAGGCGCATATATCGTGCAAAACGAAAATTTATCAAGTACCTATTTTGTACGCCCGTTCACTCTTCGGTCGTAAAAGAACCAATAAACCTATTGGAAATACTTTAATACTAATCTACAAAAACTTACAATGGCATCTGATATGCAAGAACTAATTACTCGTCAAGAAGAAAGCTTCCAAAAAATAAAGCAAATCTGCCAAAACTTCCATAAAGACAGCGCATCAAGAAAAACTTTAGATTACTTACAAAAAAGACTTATTGCTTTGAAAACCCAATGGCAAGAATTTGAGATGAATCATCAAATACTGCTTCAACGGGAAGACAAAAATATCGAATATTTTACGGATAATATTTATGAACGCACAAAAACATTATGTGAAGAAACGGAAAAGGAGATTCTTCAATTGAATAATGCGCTTCTCAACTCGGCAAGAGCTTCACCTGCTTCTGGACCTACAGCTTCCACATCTAAGGCAGATATTGGACTGAGAGATGATAATGCTTCCACAATCAAGAACAAACGCAATGATCTACTACGTCAGCAGCAATGCAATTTCAAGATGCTTCGTCGCGCTTTATCCAAATACGAGGGTGTAACTATAACTGAAAGATGGGAATTGGAAGACGCGTTAAGCGATATTAAATCAAAGTGGAACATTATTGAGAAAAATCATTTCGAATTAGAGTATTTGTCAACAGAGATCGACTACTTTTATGAAAATGAATACACTGAGTTGGAAAATACATATGATAACATGAAAAAGCAATTAAATCAAAAAATTTGGAATAACGTTCATTATGAAAAAGCAACACCGAGAATTGCAATTCCTGACTTTTACGGAAACTACACTCAGTGGACATCATTCAAAGATCTTTTCGTTGAAAGCATTCATACAAATCCGTTACTGGCGAAAACTCAAAAGATGCAGCATCTGAAATCCAAACTGAAAGGAGAAGCGGAAAAACTAGTGCAACATCTGGCTGTCAGCGCAGAAAACTATGATGCGTGTTGGGATATTTTAACACATCGGTATGATAACCAACGACTTTTATTTACATCTTATATGAATACGCTAGTTAACCAACCAACTATACAATATAATAATGCTTACTCTATCAAAAAATTACATGACACATCGGTGGAATGCTTAAATGGCCTGTCTAATATTGGAGTGGATATAACAGCAACACATTCGATTCTTGCCCACTTATTGGCGAAAAAGTTAGATAATGAGATTTACGCTGAATATATTAAAGGACTTAAGGCTCAGAGAGAGCTGCCGAGCTTAGAAGAATTATTGAACTTTTTGGAATCAAAATTTATGGCATTAGAAACATTGCAGAACGGCCTAAATCCTAAACAGTCATCACCAGGAAGTCAACCCCCGCTCCGAAAATATGATAATCAAAAAAGGTCTACATTTTTTAACAAATCTGAAAAAATACATAGATCATATAATACTTTTGCTTTGAAAAGTTGCCCTCTATGCAAAAGTAATGGTCACGTTTTAATGCAGTGTGACAAATTTATAAACATGAGTAATAACGCACGTCAGAACACCGTTATGAAATTACAATTATGCAAGAATTGTTTATTCAGCCATAAATTGAAGCCTTGTAATTCAGAAAAAAGATGTAAACTATGCAATCAGCAACATCATACTTTATTACATGATAACAATATGGAAAACTCTTCTTCTAAGCCCTGTTCAGTCAACAACATTACAGATGAAAATAGAGAAATTCTGCTTACCACCGTTCAGCTCAAAGTAAAAAATCTCCATGGAAATTATGTGACCTTAAGAGCACTTCTCGATCAAGGATCTCAAGTTAGTCTTATAACAGAAGATGCTGCGCAACAACTTCAACTTCCAAGGCGCAAACTGAGCGCAGTCGTATCTGGAGTCGGCAGTATTAGCGGAAACTGCAAAGGATTATTGCATTTAGAATGCAAATCAAGACATTCGGATTATACATTTAAAACTGAAACTTTAATTATAACAAAATTAATAAAAAAGCTTCCCGCGTCATCATTTTCTATCGATAACTGGAAATATCTCGATAACATAAAATTAGCCGATCCTGAATTTAATATTTCAGGACCAATTGATATACTTCTTGGAGCTGACGTTTACTCCGAACTTATAATGGATGGAGTCATGAAGAGTGAAAAGAACTTTCCTATTGCACAACAGACCAGATTAGGGTGGATTCTATGTGGAAACGTGCAAACTTTTAACTGTTTTGTAATTCTCAACGACCTCGAGAAGATAACTAAATTTTGGGAAACTGAAGAGATAACAAAAACCGACAACAATTGCGATATCAGTGAAAAAGAATACTGTGAGAACTATTACGTCAGTACAACTGAAAGACAAAAAGATGGTAAATATGTTGTAAAAATGCCAATGAAAAACGATGTTGAGAAGTACTTAGGAGACTCTAAACTGCAAGCCATGTCACAATTTTTTCAACTTGAAAGAAGAATGCAAAAACAGAAACATTTCGCTACTCAATATAAACTTTTTATGAAAGAATATCTGGATATGGGTCACATGAAGCCTGCTGTCACCATAACCAACTACCAACCACAAGCATATCTTCCTCATCACGGAGTAATAAGAGAGGAATCCTCAACCACCAAATTACGTGTTGTATTCAATGCTTCACAAAAAACTAAAACTAACTTCAGTTTGAATGACCTCATGTACACCGGACCCAATCTGCAAAAAGATATATTATCATTAATTACCCACTGGAGACTGCATCGATATGCATTTATAGCTGACTTAGAAAAAATGTACCGAAATATTATGCTTCACGAAGAACAACAATCACTTCAAAAAATCATCTGGAGAAACTCTCCGAACAAACCATTACAGGAAATGCAATTATGCACCGTAACGTATGGCACTAAGGCGGCACCGTACCTTGCCATGCGGACACTACAACAGCTCGCACAAGATGATGGTCATAAGTATCCAGAAGCTGCGAATGTGCTCAAATCTTATTTTTATATGGATGATCTCGTCTGTGGCAGTGATAGTATTGATTCTGCAAAGAAATTAATTCAAGATCTCATCGATTTGACAAAAGGCGGAGGTTTTAACTTAAGAAAGTGGGCGAGTAATGAACAGACTATTTTAGAAAACCTAACAGAAGAACAAAAATCAAAAATAACAAATAAGCACTTTAAACAAGAAAACTCCGACAGTACGAAAACGCTGGGCTTACATTGGAACTTGCACGAAGATACATTTTATTTCGAATTTAATATTCCGCTATTGTCAAATAAATTTACTAAACGCACATTACTGTCCGAGATAAGCAGTCTGTACGATCCACTCGGCTGGCTATCTCCCATTATAATTAAAACTAAGTTACTATTCCAAAAAGTATGGTTAGAAAATTATTCATGGGATGAAAACGTACCTAAAGATATATACAATGAGTGGGAGAAGATAAAGACAGATCTAAATAATATAAAAAATTTACAACTGAGAAGATGGCTATTCACTAAAGGGGAGCATATCGAACTTCACGGCTTTTGTGACGCAAGCGAAAAGGCTTACGCGGCTGTTGTATACTGTAGAGTGCGAAATTCGAAAGATGACGTCACAATAACCCTCGTAGCCGCGAAAACTAAAGTCGCGCCGCTGAAAACAAGGCTTACACTACCACAATTGGAATTATGCGGAGCCTTACTATTAGCTAAGCTTTTAGAAAAACTAACTAACATACTAAAAGAGAAGAGTATAACTTATCATTGTTGGACAGACTCTACGGTTGTCCTAGCATGGCTGCAGCGTGACGTCAACAAATTAGAGCGCTATATTGCTAACAGAGTAAAGCAGATACGCGCTATTATTCCCGCCTCGCAATGGAGTCACGTGAAGAGCGACGATAACTCAGCTGATTGTGCCACGAGAGGTCTTTTACCTTCAAAACTTTTATCATTCAAATTATGGTGGGAAGGACCCCACTGGCTAAAAACATATGAAAACTTGGAAACTTCAAAGATGAAACAAACTTTCTATACAAAAATTGGACTTATAACAAATTGTTTTACTACAAATGATAATTGCGATAATAATGTATTATTAAGTGCATTACTCAACAAGTACAGTACTTTGACCCGCGTAATTCGAGTCGTCAGCTGGATCCGTCGATTTATTAAGGCGACTCGCAATAAAATATCAAATTACAATCTTCATTTATCGAAAGAGGAATTTAACACAGCTATGGAATTATTAATTAAACACACTCAAGATCAATATTTCAGAGAAGATATAAACCAATTGAAGAAAAACAAACCTATCTCAAAAGGACAAATACTGAAGCTGAACCCGATTTTAGATGAAAAAGGATTACTAAGAGTAGGAGGACGCCTACAAAACTCTATACTTCCATACGATTCGAAACATCCGATTATTTTACCGCCCTGCAAGCTCTCTGAACTGATTATAAACTATTACCACAAGGTAACCCTGCATGGTGGAGCACGCCTAACACTAGCTCAGATAAGAAAACGATATTGGATAATAGGCGGTCAACAAACTGTCAAAAAACTTATTCGCCTTTGTATTAAGTGTGACCGGTTTAAACCACATACTAGCCAACAAATAATGGGAGAACTACCAGAGGCAAGAGTTATACCATCGAGACCTTTTACTAACACGGGAGTGGATTACACAGGTCACGTGGAACTAAAAATAAATAAAGGAAAAGGTGTTCGAACTTGCAAGGGTTATATAGCTATTTTCATATGCATGGGGACGAAAGCAGTACACTTAGAGCTTGTTTCGGATCTCAGCACTGAAACATTTTTGGCTGCCTTAAAACGCATGTGCTCAAGAAGAGGCCGACCCAAGAATATTTACTCCGACAATGGTACTAACTTTGTGGGTGCGGCCAAAATACTTCATCAAGATTTTCAGCATCATAAAACTTTTTCAACTTCAGAATTCTTCGACACTATTAATGATCTTAATATAGAGTGGCATTTTAACGCTCCTTTATGGCCTACCGCGGGAGGATTATGGGAAGCTGCCGTAAAATCGATGAAATACCACCTGCGTAGAGTCATCGGAGAGCAAAAATTAACCTATGAGCAGTTTTCAACTTTACTTACCCAAGTGGAGGCGTGCATGAACTCGAGACCTCTGTGCGCTTTGACTGAAGATATAGAAGATCTTGACTATCTTACCCCAGGACACTTTCTTACCGGTGGACCGATCTTGTCAATACCAAACGGCAACGATATTAATGAAGATAACTTACATTTACGAAACCGTTGGAAGCTGGTCGAACAAATGAACCTTCACATCTGGAAACGTTGGTCACAAGAGTATCTACAACAACTGCAAGTACGCAGCAAATGGCAGAAACCGACACCGAACCTGGAAACTGGAGATATTGTACTACTAAAAGAGAACAACTTACCCCCCGGAAAATGGGCCCTAGGAAGGGTTACAGAACTTCATCCAGGAGCCGACGGTCACGTACGTGTAGTCACGTTAAAATCAAAAAATGGCTATCTGAAACGTCCAATTACGAAAATATCAAAGTTGCCAATACAAGAGAAAAAGGTTGATGAAAAACCACTGAACAACACTAGTCGAACTTCGATCAAGATCAGTAAATGCAGCTTCGCCATTTTGACGACTCTGTTATTTTTCTTTGCTGGACCTGTAACATCGACTCATTTACCCCAGCCCACTCACCAAGTGCTTCCTATTGAAAATCAACCATTATACTTTGACGAGATGGGAAAAATGCAGCTTATACACAATGGCTGGGCATTACTTATATACTACAATTTAACAACTTATTGGAACGCAATAAATCAAATACATACATGCATTAATCATATACGCGAAATTTGCAACCATGTAAAAAATGCACCTTGTGTCGCTATTGCGAATCAACTGGAACACGAAAACCGTTATTTAATAGAAAGAAACAAATTACTTACCTCAACACCGAAACTGAGACGTAAGAGAGGATATTTCAACGGTGTAGGAAGCTTGGCAAAAACATTATTCGGTACATTGGATGAAGAGTTCGCTATAAAATATGAAAACGACATTGGTAATTTAAGAGGGAACGAAAATTATTTAAAACAATTGATCAAAAATCAGACTCTAATAATCGAAGCCGAAAATAATATTATCAAGAGAAGCGAAACATTCATGAACAGCCGAAAATAATATTATCAAGAGAAGCGAAACATTCATGAACAATCAATTTGATTTAATGCACAATTTTATGAATGGAACACGATATGACTTACAACAAATTCAATCCAGAGTCGGCATGCTCTTTTTAATGAATGACGTCAACGCTATGTCACTAACCGCCAGCTTAATACTTTCCAACTTGCATAGGACTCAAGAGATGATGCTTGACGCATTAATCGATATATATAACGGCCATTTAGATATGCATTTATTTTCAACAGAACAACTTATGCAACAATTGACTATCATATCTGGTAAACTACCAAATGGATTGTCACTACCCGTCATGGAGATCCAGCAAGACACAACTGACCTATATAAAATCATTCATGTAAAAGCTCGAATAACAAAAAAATATTTTTTATTTGAATTGCATATTCCACTTATAAGTGACGAAGAATATATCAACTATCGAGTGATTCCCGTACCTTTCCAAAGGAATGCGAAATGGCATGCTATAGAAACATTCACGCCATACATAGCTATAAACTTCGCAAAAAATACATATCTAAATCTACAAGAAAGTGAAATGAATTTATGCACGCCATATCGTAAAGACAAATATATATGCCACATACAACAACCTATTTATAAATTACATAATACAAATGCACCATGTGAAATAAAAATATTCAATCAACAAAGGTCGCTATCCTGCAGTGTCAATGAAATCACGTGCAAAGATAATTGGATCAAACTACATAAAAGCAACATATGGTTATTCACGTGCTGCGATAAACACCTATTACGAATTTTATGCGGAGATCAAGTTACAAGCGCCGCAATAATAGGAACTGGACTTATCGCATTACAAGAAGGGTGTATTATACAAAAGGAAGACGCTACTGTTTACACATATAATCATTATGGAAGCGAGTTCAACTTAAAAACAAGTATGGAAATTCCTACATTTGAATCATCGATAAACAAAATTATGAATGCCACTTGGCACAATACTCAACTTGATATAAATTTCAAGATGTTGAACAATACTGAGTATAATAATAAGATCGAACAGAGCTTAATTGAACAAAAACTAAAAGAACAAGAGTCATTCCCTTTACAAACAAGCATGTCAACACACGATGTCTTCCATTATGTATTCTTTTGTGTTGTGGCGGGAGGAGCTACGGCGAGTCTTATTATATTTGTTATCATCCGAAGAAGAAGACGTTCACAGGTTGCCAAAACAAATAATTCACCTACGCAACAAGGTACCATCAGTCACCAACAAGATATAGAGTTACATGAAATAAGCGGACCCTCCTCCCAACAACCAAATGTAACAAACAAAATATTTAATTTTGATTAAGTTATACTTTTTTTATATTTATTTTAATCTATACACTTTACTATTTACTTTTGTAAAAATTTACTTTTTGTTTTATATATTTTCTTTTTTGATTTAGTTATACATTGTTTATATCTTATTTTAATCTATACACTTTACTATTTACTTTTGTAAAAAATTACTTTTTGTTTTATATACTTTCTTTTCATATTCCCTCGGGAGCATGTACGATTACGTACAATAACTAATTTATATTTACTGCTGACGTGCAACCTACTTTGGCGTGCGGTCAATAATCTTAGTATATTATATATATCGACATTAAAGTTAGTTGTAATTTATACTTTGGTCAACTCATGTATCTACTAACTAAACTTATCTACTCTATATCTACTAACTAAATAAACTTAACTATTTAAACAGTGCAGTGTTTAACTTGAACTATTATTCAACTTTATCCAAACTACTATCAACTACACTCTTCAAGACCCCAACAATGATTGTGTTTATTGCCATTCTGGTCTGATGATATATATTTATCTAATTTAAAATTAATTCAAGAGATTTGTTTTTTCCATTTTGTATAATTTTCTGATGCTGTATTTGTGTGATAGCATTCCACATTTATTAAAAATGCCTATCTTTTGCACATAAAGTTTGCACTTTCCAACTATTCTTAAGTTAAGTATTAATAATATAGAGTAAGATAATTAAAATTTCAGGTTACTCACAAGGTGGGCTGATCGCAAGAGGTATTGTACAGACATTTTCAAATGTGTCTATTGATACATTTATTTCATTGAGTTCACCACAAGCTGGACAGTATGGAGGTAAATTTTCATCTTTTATAATAATAAGATTTGCACTATAATCATACACAAAATTATGCATAGCTTATAGTTAAATCATTATGCTAACTGCCAATTACATAAACACCCAATAAAATTCTCATTGGTTTAAATTAAAGCAATATTACTGATAAAAATCTTCAAATTTAGAACATTTTCTTTGAGTTTAAAGTCATCATCAAAACTTGATGAATGTTGCACCTGGGAGTTTGAAGCGTAAACCAAAGTTTAACATATCTATACTAATATTATAAAGAGGAAAAATTTGATTGTTTGTTCATTTGCAACTAAAAGGCTGAAACTACTGTACCAATTTAAAAAAAATCTCCTAGGGGAAGCTACATCATATGAGATGAACATAAGTTATATCCCGAGAATAAGCAAATAAGGCGATGAAAATGTGAGTGGAAGTTTGTATAGGGAATTATAACAGTACCATAATAACCATTGTTATTATTCAATTTTTTATGGTAATTATATCAGTGTCATGATACAAATAAACAGTTGCATAGAAACTTTTAATTTTTGAATGTTTGATTCTCAATAGTTTGGGGACCAAAAGATGATACATTTGAAAGCGTCTGGAAACAGCAATAACTGACAAGGAAAAAAAATATCTATGGTAGTAATCAGATAGAATAGATTTAAATGCAGATAATATTAAGTTTTTTTTTTAATTTTGTTAAGGAACTATTTGTAGTTTTTAATAAATTTATCTTAGAAAAAATATTGAAACCTCAACTACCCTAAAAGTAGTTTGCGTGTCCCCTATGTTGGTCCCATCTAACAAAGTTTTTCAATCATAGGACTTGCCTTTGAATTGTCTGATAGTAAAAGAACTATTTAATGCTGTTATATTTATTTATAAAATATTTTTTATGAATAAACATTATATGTCAGATACAGTGAGGAAACGTCCTTAACCCTCTATTGCATACAGAGCCATTTTTGGCTGCTAAACTTTAGTAATTTTTTTCTACCCTAATTATAAACAAAAAATTTAAAATTTATCACAGTAATATAAGGGAGTTCAAACTGAAACGAAACGCAATTTTTATCGTCTATGGCCAAAGTCGTATGTCATTATAACCTCACTTCTTTCCGGTGCGTACGCAAAGTCGTTCTTAGTGAAATTTACTGCAAATTTATTAGTGAAAATTAAATAGAAAAAGTAAGAATATTGATATTCAAAAATATAAATAATGTTCTACAAAGCCTCTGTTTTTGATGCCTCTTACACTTTATTCAAAATATTTGTTCTTTATACTTCATTTTCATTATTTTCTACGGGAGCCATTTCTGGCTTCGTATGCATTATGATAAAGTAAATTTGAGCCTAAAATGGCTTCGCATGCATTCAGAGTTCTTTTTTTTAACGTTAACAACGAAAAATATCTGCAAAAGTGCAAGAGCTACCTCTAAATTCAGTACGTTCAGACAAAATTGACCATTTTCCGATTCATCAAAGGACTCGTCAATTATGTCAGAATGATTGTTCTTTGCGTTCCCATATAAAATGTGAGAAATGTAATGTTTTTCTTTGCTTGAATGAGAAAAGAAACTGTTTTAGAGAATTTTACCTTGTATGATGTTTATTTGTCGTGCATCGGAAGCCAAAAATGGCTTCTGTTTTTTTTTTTCAAAATAATAAACTTATTTTTCTTTTCACTTTATATTTTGTCTTATAAGCCATAATAAAGCACAATAAAACATAAAAATATTTTTTTTCTATTAAATTTAATAATTCATGCAATAGAGGGTTAAGAGCACACTCAACATTCTCCCATGACCCACTGGTAGGTTCTTGCCCTTTTATTTCCATATATTTAGGTGATGGAGTACCTTACAGAATTACTATAAGAATTGTTATTTTAATATTTTTGTCCATTATTTGTATTAACAAATAGGGATGACGACTGGCTAAAAAGTATTCTATTCAATCCGTCAGTCAGATGATGGAAAAATATTACATAATTTTTTTTTTATTTAATTTAAACAAGAAATGCTTAGATAAGAGGTATTAAAGTTGAGGAGTGGGATCTCGCTGCTTCACAGTTTTGTAGAAAATGTAAATGACATCATGCAAAATTTCAACTCCGTACTCTGTACGTCCGTAATTTATTGATTTCGCACAAAATATATAAAAAAAAGTGTTAAATATTCTTTAATAATCTACCTGAAGGACAAACAAATGAAAACTAATCATTATTACAAAATTTATATTAATATCTTATTTGACATAAACCACATACTCTTTTTCGTTATCAGTTTATTATTATTATAATAAATATTGTTATTGAAAGACAGGTTAATAACCTATGCATTGCTACACAACAAAGAATAAAAGAGACTTGATACTATAGATTTGGAATTGGATCTTTGTTTGGTAATATTTTTTTGTATAAGCATGCTAGCGTATTTGAAAACAAAGTCAGTTCAGTAATTTTTGCCGCAATCTCTACTTATAAGTAAAAGTAAAATATGTATAATTTCCTACCAAAAACACATAAAACTATGTTAAAAAGGTTCCATCCCAAAAACAATTCTGAGAACAGCTGTTTTAGAAGGTCTTGGGAAGGCCTTTCATCACAAATGCATTATTTATTGACGCGTGATATTGTTATCACTACACTATTAAGATATTTATTTTACGACGCAACTTCGAAATCAAACCATTTCAAAAAGTCTGTGGCATATAACGTTGTAGTAATATGAGGTTTATCTATCCGCAGCTGGTTTCCTACATCTTGTGTTTCCTGGGCTGGTGAAGGACACGGTATACGAGTTGTTTTACTCGCGAGTGGGTCAACATACCTCAGTTGGCAACTACTGGAATGATCCATACCACCAGACTCTCTACGAGATGTACAGTGTGTACTTGCCCTATATAAACAACCACATCAAGTAAGTTTATTGTTATATTTTTTTCACAATGATACAATAATAAAAAAAAATACATAATATATTGATTCTCAGCATTCAAGTTCATAGGTTAAATCAAATATTTGTATTAATATTTTATTATAAAAGATAAATAAATTAAACCAATAACATATTATAATGGTTATACAGTTAAGTAAAATGAAAAAACAAATGTACTTTATAAGGCCCACCACCTGCTGGATTGCAAAAAACCTCTCGACAATACATATTAATTTATTGGCACATAAAACAAATTACAGACATATATTTAATAAAAAAAATATATAAAACATTACACAGGACCACAGAACCTCTTTTTCTTGTTCAGTGCACAGGACCATAATTCTTAATAATATGTCCACATAATGAACCTTTTATTTGTATAACAATCAAGAAACGGATAATCTTTAGCAATGAGTGAATTAGATATCAAACAATAATATAATCATAATAAATAGCAACAAATTGAAATCTGATCAAAACCAAAGAAATCATTAATCAAAATTGATGTTAATAAATAAAACAAAATAAAAGGAAAATAAAAATCTAGTGAAATCAATTTATATTCATTTATATTACTTTATTTTGAATCGTAACCTGCCTCACCGAGAAAGAGAAAAAAATGAAAATAAAATACTTTTATGTACCTGCTATTAATAATACAATATAAAACCCGTTTCTGTTGAGGTTTTAGCACGCCAGCGCCCACAAAAGTGGGACTCCTTAAGCGACAGTACCTTATGTCTTACTTAAAGTGAAAAATTATGACCGAAATAAATAATGAAATCGAGTGGTTTTCTCGATATTTTGCCAACTGTACAAATAAGCAGCTGCTAGATCAAAATTTGGGCTGTCCAGACATCGGTTCCATGGTGTAATGGTTAGCACTCTGGACTCTGAATCCAGCGATCCGAGTTCAAATCTCGGTGGAACCTGAACTTTTTGTTATTATTTTTTTATATTTACGTAATGTTTGTTTTTGCGATTTTTATTAAATCAGAAAAAAGTTTTATTAAAATGGAAAGAAAATTGTTTTCATCTAAAATTTTGTTCTTTGTTAAATGTTGTTGACCTATTAAACCCTGGAACCAACTTCATAGCACAACTGTGCTACAAACTGTTGATTTTCTTTAATGACTGGTTTACATATGAAGTTGATAAGTTGTTAACTTCATTTAAACTGATTAAGTTCTGAGGTGTTTGACACTAGGTATAATAATTGGGGTGTAGACACCTTTTTTAAATATTTTTATTTTAAATCTATAATTAAAATATATCTAAAAATATCATTCATTTAATAAATTAAAATCTAAAAATAAATTTAATTTTCAAAATTTCCCTTGAAAACGTCACGTCGTCATGGTGTCGTTATGACGTCACGGCCCTTTGAAACTAATGTCTTTGTATATATACATAAGGTTGAGTTCTCCAAGTTCTGATATGAGTAAGATGGGACGTCACGCGCTGTTTGCAGTCACGTGACAACGAGCTTAAAATATTTATTTTTTCATAATTAATTTAAGCAATATTAAAAATATAATAAGTGTGATTATCGGTACTAGTATATTATATTAAACCCTACCAGAAAAAAATGTAATGTATTATTATGACATGTATGTTATTATGTAACTATATTCATACAATAATATTTTATATACATTTATTTAGTAATTTTGGTTTTCTTATTCCAGATCAGCGAAAACTGATGATTTTAAAAATAATATGCTGAGGCTCAAAAGACTCGTGCTGATTGGTGGGCCTGATGATAACGTCATTACGCCGTGGCAGAGCAGGTATTATGTTTTAATCATTTATATGAACTATATTTCATAAAAATTCGGTTTTCTAAAAGAAAAGAAAATTAATAATGTTTATCAGTGCTTGTAAATATTAGTGTGACAAAGACATTTAAAGACAAATCTCTTTTTAATCGCACGCTGGTTATAGAGTGACGTCAAACAAATGGCGTAGGACACAAAAAAAAACACAAAATATGAAAGACCCAATAATTTAAATAAGCCAAAAAATATATATATAAAAATTGTTCTTAAACTTGCTGTATACCCTCGAAAACAATACCCGCCATATTTATGACGTCATTGTACATAACACGATTTCACGTCAGTTTACCACAAATTGTCAAATTTCTGCAATAGATTTTGAGCCACTACTCTCAATGTGTTAAGATTTAAAATCGAGTAGGCAAATTTGACGGTTTTGTATACCTTCACGTGGTGTTAAGTGTGCAAAAAATAGTACATTTATTTTGAGATAAGATGTCAATCACACAAAACAGAGCCATCTACAGATTTTTGCTACAAATAAAAACTATATAAATAAGATCCAAACAGCGCCATCTAGGAATCTGCTTTATAATAAATAGATAGCTGTTTACAAATATCTAACTTGTAGAAATGTTTTTGCCGAAGCGATATCACAATGGCGGGTTGTGCCTCAAAGTCACGTGACACATATCTATACAAAAACGCTAGATTTTTAATTTTATCGTATAGTGTGATTTTTTGAGTCAAAAAATGTTTATATCAATGTAAATTTTAGATTTTGTGGAATTTCATTATCGTTACTTATTTTTGCCTATGAAATGTCATTTCTGAATGAATGCGCAATGTATATACAAATAAAATGGAGCTCGATAGCGCTGCGGTTAACGCGTTCAGTTTGAGATAGGGTTGTTAAACAGCTTTGGAAGGGCCGGCCATAGGATGGGTGATCAAAAATTTTTTTCTCGAGCTCGCCTGAAGTTCTTTGATCCAATTTTGATATCGAATAAACCAGTTTTTTTGGTGGTTAGCTCTTCGGTGGACGGACCCAAACGGTAAAAACTGAACCCTACTAGGATTCGCTGTCTGTACGTCTGTCACCAGGCATCATGTCTGTATTCATTAAAAACAGGGAATATCAAGCGGGCACCCGTAACGAGACTTTTTTTTTAAGTTTCTATTGATAGTTTCCGTACCCCTCGTGTGTTAGTGTGACTCATAATTAGCCAGTTTTCTTTATATATATTTTTAATTATTTACATATTTCAGTCAGTTCGGTTACTACAACGGTAGCGAGGCGGTTGTAGAGATGCGCGCTCAGGATATATACACTGAGGATAGAATAGGCCTCCAAGCTCTAGACAAGGCCAACAGATTGCATCTGATCACTGTTCCCGGTGTTAATCACTTCTCGTGGCATATGAACGTTACTATAGTAGACGACTGTCTACTACCATACTTAGATTAAATAAATAATTCAAAATATTACCAAAAACGATTGATCTTAAGATAAAAACTGTAATACTAAAAAAACTAAAATTAGGAATTATAAATGCTATCAACATAGATATGGAGAGGGGTCTAATTGTTTTATTTTTAAAATCTAACGCAATCACTTTAAATTTGACGTTCGAAAGGTATTCACGAACTTAACTAGATAACATGTGATGGCCATTGCAATTGCGACTTTTTTTTTTTAAATATACATTACATTTCTATATATATTTAATTCCATAAAATTCTAAACCTCTTAAAGGAATTGCGATAGATTTTAATATTGCACAATTAGCCCACCGACATGTACAGTGGGAGAAAGAAAAGGTTCGTCACCATAAAGTCGAATTTTGCTTGTAACAAATCAATAATCAGTACCAATTTAACCAAAAAGAGTATTTAATGCCCTGTAATGGCAATGTCAATTTTTTTAAATGTCAACTTTATGGCCAAAGTAACAGATGTAATGACAGTTTTATAGGAGGTATTACCCATTTTAATTTTATGGTAAATCAAAAAGTTTTATAACTAAACGGGATCTTTTACCAGTAAAAACAATGACGAAATTTTAAAGAAAAATAAACCTTTCGCCAAATAGTTGAGCATAGTTTTCTATGCAAAATTTTAATTTCGTAATTTAATACACATAATATACTATTTAAATTTTGCGCTTCGGCTATATTCGTCAAGCTTCGGCAATCCTAATGTATTTTAAAGATATCTTTATAGAGTTGTTATTACATAATTAATCATTTCGCTTAAATTTAGATTAGGACAGCTGATTTAAAAATAAAAGTATACTGTGTTTCTTGCCATCAGCTGATACCAAAATGAAAACCCCAGATTAAAGAAAATCGAATTATGTAGGAATAAATGAAGTACCTATATTCAAATAAGGTAATTTGGCGTATCACAGCTCTATGCAATTCTTAATACTGAAATATTGCGTGCTGTCACTTCCATCACAGTCGAGGTACTGACGAGTTTTGGCGGCTAAAATGCACATTGGTTTCTTGATCGGTTAAATTCGTAAACACGAAATATACCGAGGCGCGTAATTTAAATAGTATATGTGTACTTACCTCTTTTCTCGCGAATGTCAAACCGAATTCTTTGAAGTCGCGAGTTCAAACTGTTCAGTATGAAATTAGACGAACCTCTTCATTCCCTGCGCTTGATTGAATTGAATCTAAACTTTGTGATAGTATTACTGCGATGATGTGATATTTTTCAGTTGCGTATCCAGTGAATTAATTGTACAAACTGTTTAGTTTGTGACTGATAATTTATTTATAAATAAGATTTTAAGTGTAAATCATAATCAGTATATGAATACATCTAAATATGCTGTATTTAAGTACATAGTGTTTCTTTTTAAATAATGAAAGGATAAGAATCTGATACAAAAATTAAGGTGTCATAATTAAAATAGAAATGTATGGTACTTAAAACAAAACCAGCGAAAGATCTTTTAAAATTTAAATAGTAATTTACTTCTTTGCTTTCAAAGAAAATAAATGTATTAAGGTTTAGATTGAGGACGCTTTTTATCCTTGTCACTCCTGTTCGAAGCATAATATGCCTACAAGTGATGCTATATGTAGATATATTTCTAACTCACTTTAATAGATACTTAAAATGGTCATATCTCAGTGAATTATTCTAATATTTCAGTTGTTCTTGTAATATATTTTTTTTTTATTAGAATAGTCTTTGTAATAGAATAGTCTCCCGCCGTAGTTTGCGAACCGCTGGCGTATTTTTCGATTTTCACATGTGTTATGTTGTTACATAGGCTGTTGCCTAGACTGAATAACGGATTTTGATTTTTTCGCTTTCCTATTAGATAGTTTTAATTATAAAAATGATGTGTAAGCAATATTTGTATAATTATTTAAGTTTAAGTTTAGTGCCAAATTAAACTATGTAATTGAATATGTTAGTAACATGATAAATAATAAATATCAATGTTTCTCAATTGCTCTGCTGTTCTGTAAAATCTCGTCAAATTCAGCGTCCAATACAGCGCTGTCGCAGCTTTAGAGGTTAGAATTATCATAATCCGTGTTCGACTCTGTATTTTAACAAAATAGTAGTGCATATTCCCAAGTCTACGTATTCATGGCAACTATTTATTTATTATCTCCATATTTCTACCTATTTTGGGACATAATTAGGGTGAAACGAAGAATGTATGAGATAATTATCAGCTTTTAAAAGTAGTTAAAACATATATTTAAAACTATATCATTAAGAATTAATTTTGAAAATATATATAACTTCAATTATATGCGTAAGAATCAACAGTAACAGTCGACTAATATATATTTATGACATCAAATAATGTTGATATCCGCAGAGCGACCGCTGAAATCTCTAGTCTTGATTTAAGGCATAGGATACGACATCTTAGCGATGTAATAACGATATTTCGTTTCATTTTACTATTTTGACATGTCTTTTGGTGAATTGGGATAAATGACTGAGTTGGTAACACTGCTATCAAATCCATAATCATCATTCTCTATCGAACATTCGTCTATGAACGAAATATGACGATATTTTGTTTCATATTCGCTACGATGTTGTATCCTATGGCTAGAGAGTGGGGCGGTTGGTTATCTTAATAAGTGTAGCAATACTATTTCTTTTGTTTGCTTAAAGCCAATGTTGCCATCAATTCTACTATGGATATGTAGCTTTGTAAAACTATATTCTTTTTATACGTATCCGGTGTTAATTTTATCCTATTATACTGCATAAATTTAAAAAGATAGTTTAATTAAAAGGCCATAATTTTTGTGCAAAATAAAGTGAAGCTGTGTTTATGAAACGTACAAGTTAACTTTATATTTAAATAATGTATAACTTAATGAATTAAATTTGGATATTTCTTTCGGCTATGGATTTAGCTGTAGAACTTCTTTTTTTTACATCATAGTGTAAATCTCATTATATTTTTGTAACATAGAATTAATATTAGATAAATTTTGAAAAAAGAATTATTTATTTATCATAATAAATTATTGTAATAATAATAATATATATTTTGAACTCATTTTTTAATTTATATTATTTTTGTAAATTGCTTTTGTAATTACCATCTTATGGTCATGAAATCGTTACTCGAATAATACAATTAATATTGTATCATACTTTCATATATTCTGTGTCATTTAAGTAATATATGGACAGTTAATCATGCTTAAGAACTATGAATGATATCAATATGTATTTAGAAATCCGCGTTAGTCTTAAACAAAGCCTAAATATTTAATTAAAAAAAAATACAAGTCATACATAACATATGAAAAAAAAATAACAATAAATTTAATATGGCGCGCATAATTTAATATACATATCCAGGCGTTGTTGATATTTATTACAGTAATAATAATTTTAATTAATATTATATCTTGTTGGTAACAAATGTTGTAATATTAAATAACACCGCCATCTGTTAGAAACTTATGGTTCTAACATGTATGTTCTTTGAATATAAATAGGTTGTTGACAAGTCAAAGAAAACATAGTATAGATTAAAAAAAGAAAACGAATCAACTATGTATTACTATTTGTTGCTATTGTGATTGTAAAATTGTAAAATCTACAAAAATAAATATGATCGAGTGACAATATACATCACTTCGAATCAACAGTGATATTTTTATCCATTAAACCTACATATGTATACAAAAAATAAGTTTAAACACTACTTCTTATAAGTAAAACCACATATTTGTTATAACTCTATTAGTCCATAATGAAAATAACCTTCGAATATATTTTGCAAATACTCCCCGCTTAAACCGCATAGTTTAGTTAGTTGCGCACACGCCCAACAAAACTGTCATTAATTTAAAACGAGATTAAACTATCCATTACTGAAACAACTCCATTAGAGCTTAAATTAAAACTTTTTCGACTGGCTGTGTGCCATCAATAGTAATTGCTATTTAGAGTTGCGCTTTTCATTTGATCAATTGTAGGCTACTCATTATGTCTTAATGTATTGAATTTGTAAAATATGGCTTGTATAAGTTTTATAATCCTAGAAAAATATTGTAACTTATTTTTACACTTTTATCTATGTCGAGAGAATAACTCGAGAGTGTCATAATTTAAGCAGACATTTATAACAAATAAACAAGAATTTGAATAAATCAAAAACTATTAATAATCAGAATACATACTATTATTATTAGTTGAATGACAGACGCTGCGTAAATAACTAGGCTGTACGGTGTGGGATCCCCATTCTATCTACTTGACAAAAAAAATCTTTTTGTCTCTTTCCTGTGACTATATTTTTCTCTCGTTGGTTTTGTATCAATAAATATATTAAAGTTAATCTTCTACGTTTGTTTCTTATTTTATGATTATGTATTAACCGTTATTACTTCAATTAAATTCCAGTTTATTCCTAAAAAATATTTGCTTAAATTATGTCATTTTCTCAAGTGATTGCTTCTCTCGACTAGATACGAGTGTTTAAGTTAGTGATAGTACAATTTAGAAATAATAGAGTTTAGAAACTATAAAATGATTACTAATGAAATCGGCCGTGGGTTTTATATTGGAGGCTTTGACCAAAATAATTTAATAGAATAATAGTTTTCAGTGTTATTTAATAGGTTAATTTATATTTTGTATTGTGTGTTTATTGACTCATTTTTTATTTCATTTTAATTATGTAAAACTCTTATTTGAGTATCGAATAATATATGTAATTAATAATGTTTTGATATGATGAAAAATTTGTTTCCTTTTTCTATTTTATTATCAGTTTGCTTATGTTGGTATTAGGTTATGCAATACCTTATCATTTCCGAAGAAAATACCAGTTTTTAAATTGGAACCTCCTATGAGAATTACTGTGAGTTGTACTGTGAGTGAATTTGAATGATTTGCTGTATTCGTCTTTGATAGATGGAGCTAATGTTCTAATTGAAGAAATTTTTAATACGAATGTTC